TCAGAAGGCAAAAGCAAACCACAGCAATGAATAGACAAGAGCACGTTGTGGGGGGTGTCAATAGGAGCCAAGTGCTACCGCTGTCCAACCCGGTGGTCTTGGATGTATGTGGATATATGTGGGGGCTTACTTCTTTGAGCCCCAAAGTCATCATCTATAACACTAGAAGTCATCAGCTAGTACTGCTCCATAGGTCTCCATAAGTTGCTAACTGACTGACATACAATGCTTTTTTTTTTTTTTTTTTTAAGAATGGGTGTGCCATTCTTAAAACCCTGGCCCTGACCCATGGCCTTCCTCCGGGTTCTTCCACATGTTCTTCCAGCATTGGGGACAGGATTATCTCTGCTGTCCTGTGCCTTGTGGGCTATTCACCAGCATAGCTGGCTTTTACCCAATAGATTCTGATACCACCCGTCAAGCTTTGACAATGAAGAATGTCACCAGAATTGCTAATTATCTCCTTGGTTGAGATCCATATTTATGATTAAGTACGTGAACACCAGGGACTGAGAGTCCTTCCAAAGGTATGCTTCATGCTTCAGTCATGCGTTCCGTCTCATGCTGAAAAACACCTACCAGACCTGAGCCACAATGTTCAGTTTTGTCATGGCCTGGAACTTACTACGCAGACCCAGCAGGCCTCAGACTCACAGCTATCAGCCTGTTGCTTCCCCAGAGCTGGGAGTAAAGGGGCACACACCACACTTGGTTACACACTTTCCCCCTGACTTCTCTGTTTTATTTGGTGGCTGTCTTTCTTACTTGTTTTCCTCATCTTTGCAGCTAAATTTCGGAATGATATTGTCAGGTGGCCTAACACACACTGATTGAATTAAACTCATTAATTCAGGGGTTCGTTAGAAACTTTCTACTCCTGTAGAAAGTTTTATTTTTAAAATGATAGGATTTAATTACTCAAATCATTGTTTTTAATGGAAGGTTCCCTGTCTTACTGACTTTTGGGGCTATTTCTGTTTTGTTTTGTTTTTATTTACCATAATTTTTATTGACCCTTTGGGAATTTCACAACGTGCACCCCAATCCCACTCATTTCTCAGTCCTCCCATATCTGCCCTCCACCCTTGTAGCCTCCTTCCTCAAAAGAAAAGAAAACAAAAATCCGCTTTGATCCTCTGTCTTGCCTGCCTCTTCATCGTTCATCATAGCGGTGTTGGAAGCTGTGGTGTGTAGCTTCTGTCTGGGTTGGGGTTTGTTTGTTTTCTCAGCTTTTTTGTCACTTTGCTTTTTTTTTAATAGTAATTTATTGTTGTTGTTGTCGTTGTTATTGAGAAAAAGAAGCATGTGGAAATCAGAAGATAACTTGTGGGTGTCGGTTCTCTCCCATAATCTTAGTCTCCCCCAGACTAAGATCATCAGGCTTGGTGGCAAGTGTCGCTAACTGCTGAGCTATTGTGTCTGCCCTCGTTTTTTGTTTTTGTGGTTGATTTTGAAACAGGGTCTCGTGTAACCCAGGCAGGTCTCAACTCACTGTGTGCCACGGGTGAACTCGAACTCTTGATTCTCCTGTAAACCCCAGTGCTGGGTTTACAGGCATACATCACCATGCCCAGTTTATGCAGTGCTGGGGGTGAAATCCAGGATTTTGTTCATGCTGGGCAAGCTCTCTATCAACCAAGCCATGTCCCCAACCCCTTCCTGGCTTATTTCTTCTGGGTGTTTTTTGAAGTTTTGAGGTTTGGGGAAGACAACCATAATCTCCTTGGTGATAGGCATGCCTCCCTGCTTTCTTTTCTTTTGGGGATTTATTAATTTTATTTTATGTCCAGAGATGCTGTGCCTGCATGCGTGTCTGTGAAGCACAGGGACTCTGACTGGCTTTTTCCTGTCGTGTTGGCTGGAAGTACTGGAAGCACAGCACCCCAGCAGGTTCACTGTGCTCTTCCACGGAAGGAGGCCGCACAAAGTGAAGACATCAAGTGAACCAAGCCGCAGAGCCACGTTCAAATCCAGTCCCATCGTGAAGGGTCCTACTCTAACCGACCCCAGCCTGGTATGTATGGATCAGGCAGGTCTTGCACTTTCCCCCATTCCCTCTGCCTTGCTAAAAAATCCATTAGGTTATATTCTAAAGCTAGCTCCCAAGATCTATTCGCTTATTTGGCCACTTCCTTCTCCTGAGGTTGACTACCAAGGTCCAGTTATCTTTTGTGTGTGGGGATGGGGGTTGGGGATTTAGCTCAGTTTGGTCCTCAGCTGGGGAAGGGGCAGGGAAGCCCCCCTTGGTTCACCTAATTAACATGCCCAATTAAAAATAACCCCTCGTCCTAACACAAGGTTTCCCCTTTCACCTTTATAAACTGCCATTTTCCTATGCGCCACGTCTGTCTCCTCTCTGTCCAGAGGGAGTCGTTTGTTGTTGTCGTTATTGTGCGCCCCCCCCCACAAATACCCCAGGTCCCCTCTCCCTTGTTCCCTCCCCCTTTCCCTCCTCCTCTGTCTCCTGTCTTGGTCTCTTATCCCCAGCCCTCTGTCCCTCTGGGGTAAACACATCTCCTTTGAGCTGAGAACTTGGTCTGGGGGGTCCTTTCACATCGCCCACTGTCTAGCCCTAGCCTTCACTCTGTAGGTCATCCTGACCAGATGCTGAATATTAATTAAAGACCGACTGTTGGTGGCATTAAGGGGCCGCGGATAAGCTTTGCTTGTTTCTGTCTCACTTGAGAGAGACCCTTTTTCCTCCTTGTCGTGAATTCCTGGGCTATGGTCCAGCCACTGCCTGTGTTTCCATTTGTGCCACGAACATAATGAAGCAACCTGCAGAGCCCACCACCCTGCATGGGCTGGGCAAGTACATTCCTCCTGCACAGCTCCTAGGCCTGGGCTTCTTCCTTCCTCTGAGCAGGAGGTGGGTGCTTCATTGAGCAGGGTCTTTGTTGGGGTGACAGTGAGACCTTCCTCAACACTGTAAGTCAGTAAAGAAATCAAGCACAGTACACATAGTGTGGCTTCACGGGTGTCCCGGGAGTGGAACTTGGCTCCTCATCCAAACTGTCCAGTGGGCAGCTCTGTGCTGGGGGCCTGGATTGGCTCCTGACCTCAGGGGCCTCTCCCCCAATTCTCACCATACTCTCACCTCACTCCCACTCTCCAATGTTCATCTCCCTGCCCAGGTCTGCTGAAGCTTTCCATAACTATAATAAACACCTGGGATAATTAAGTTACGAAGAGCCAAGGTTTATTTTGGCTCCCCATATTTGATGATGTAGTTGGCCCTATTGTTGGAACTTGTGGGGGTACATCCTGGAGGGAACATATTGCTAAGCAAAACCACCTCCTTCATAGGTAGAAAGCCACAGAGAGAGAAAGAGGAAGAGGCTGAGGCCCAAGAGGGCATGACCCCAATGACTTAAAGACCCCCACTTGACCCCACTTCTTAAAGCTCCACCCCCTCCCAGGGTCCAGCCTCTAGCACAAAGGCCTCTGGAGCCTAACTGGAGCCGTTGGGGAATTTTCCACTGCTGTCCCCACGCTGTGACGTGAGCTCAGGGTGAATCTCACAGCCATAGTCCCTCCTAACCCAAGCCTACCCCCTGCCTCTGGGCATCCCCCACCCTAAGGCCTCTAAGGCCCCTGGGCCTTTCATCTAACATTTGGTTAGACTTGCTTTTCTAACAAACACGCTTGGTCATGGAGCTCTAAAACCCCTCTCGGCTACATTTCATCGAGGGTCTGTGTCTTTCCTCGGAGGTGAAGAAGGCGGCTGTCACTCGTGTTAGCACTGGATGATTCCCTACTCCCCCAACTAGCCTCTGAGCCCGTGTTCCTCACCTGGAAATTTCTTATTCCTTCAGTGTTGGGTGTTGGAGTTCCTGGGTCAGGTTGACCTTGTTTGCTGGGGTCTTGCTCCACCCCACTGGTTATGTTGAAGAATTTGTGGGTTAATATCTTCATAGAAAATGTATTCCCGGTGTAGACGCTTCTGTGTTTCCTAACTCCACATAACCACCTTATTTTCCTATAGCTTTTAGCACAGTGTCCATGTCTAAGATCTTATGTCCCCTTCTAGTCCCTCCTGTGTACTCTGCCTCATTTGTGCTCAGGAGATGGGCCATGGTAGAAAAACAAGATAAGCATAGAGGGAAAATGGGCCTGGGCCTCTGAGGGGCAGAGGATGAGGTCAAAAAGAGGTGAAAGGAGTCAGGAGGGTGGGCAGTGCAGGGAGGTGATCCCCTAGAGACACCAGCTTCTGGGCCTGGGCAGCTGGGCAGGCAAGGGAAAGGTCATGGGAGCGGCCGGAGATGGGACATCAAACCAAGGGTCACTTCCTGGGCTAACAGGGACTAGACTGAGGCTCCCAAGGCTGCAGGAGTTAGGTGGTCCTACAGAGTGGGGCACAGGGAGGGGTACACTCACTGACTGGACACATGGCTAATGGTGCCCTGGGACTAGGGGAGAAACAGATACCACCAGGACATGCAGAGACTGAATTAGGAGTATGAAAGGAACCTACAGACCTGCCATGGTCCAAATTGTCCTTGCTGGGTGTCTCTCAACCTATATATTCTCTCTCACCTTAGGAACCACCCTCTAAGAACCATGGAAAGTCCAGGGAGGATTCCACAGAGCTCTGGGCCCAAACTTGGTGTGTGGAAAGAGCTAGCTGCTCATATGTGAATCTCTTGGTCCCCTCTCCCTGTCCCTGTTCCTCTCATGTCCCAGATCCATCCACACCTCCCATAGGCAGCCACACTTAGGGAGCTAGGTAGCCATAGACAAAGTCCCCCAAGCCCTGGGGCTGGTCTCAAGACCCCAGTGGTCAGAAAATGCCCGGATTTAAAGTTTCTCCTAGTGAAAGCAAGGCAAGTGAGGTGTGGAGGTCCAAGGGTCTACCCCTTAAGCTTGTGGCTCCAGGCCACACTAAAAGAGCCAAAGCTGGGCCAGAGCAGAGCTCTCAATAGCCCTGGCCTATGTTTAAGGCCATCCCTGGGAGGTGCTAGTGTAACTGGAAAATAATAAAGAAATAGCAAACACAAGTGTAGCCCTTATTCCTTTATTTACCAAGGAAACAGTTGTTTTTTTTTAATTTTGCATTGCGTCTGGACTTGCCTGCGAAAATTGGGGGAGGCTTGAGAGAGTGCCATGATGGACATGTCATTAGCATTGTGGTTACAAAATCATGTCCCAGACAGCTCTCCTTCAGCTACTCCACCCAGTGAGAAAACTGCACTGCCCAAACACATGAGATGTGTATGGGCAGCCAGAGATCTGTGTACATGAAGACCAAGGAGAGACTGCGAACGTTGTGTTCCTCTTCTGTGGAAGGTGGATGCCGTGGAATTTTGTCTGGGCGGCCTCATCGGTGCTGATTTCTTGATCTTTTGTCACGTGGGAAGGTGAGATGGTAGCACTCTGAGGGAGGCATCTGCTCAGGACTCTCCCACCACGGTGTTGTTGTTTTTCTTCCTGGCTTCTTGGGGACACCTATATCTCTGCTCCCCTCCCAGAATGTGCCCCTCAGCCCGCATATCCCACAGCTCCAAGAACACCGCCTTACACTCTGCAGGTGCTTGGAAACACTCCCTGACTGGATGAATGGTGGATGATGAATCTTTTGGATAGATAAGGGCCTGCTGGGAGAACAGCCGGGCCCCCTTTGTCATCGGAGACATGGCTGCTCTCCACAACATGGAGATCGAAAAGAAAAAGTGGAATGGAGAAATAATCTTTTTTTGTCCAATTGTAGAATTTCACATTGGAGAAATTGAGGAACAGAACTGTTAGCAGACTCTGTCAAGGTCTCCAGGCGAAAGAGGCCAGGGGGCTCACGAGACACCAGCCTGGCAATTGTTGATAATTGTTGTTACATTTTTTTTTTTTATCTTTTTTAAATTTTTATTTCTTAAAGTTAACTTAAAATGAGATGGGATGATGACTTGATGGAGGTGGTGGTGGTTGCCTCAGGGTGGGGGTGGTTGGAGGCAGGGGAGAGGACCTGGGAGGAGGGAGGAAGGGAAGCAGGAGTCAGGGATGGTGGGAGGTGGCAGGGATTTGGGGAGCTGGGACACACCCTCATCAGGATGAGGGAGTGGGAGGAACATGGGTTGATGATGATCCATGACCAATGGGTGGGAAGAGATTCTTTGAGTCAGGGCTGTGAACGAAATGACCCCAGGGTAGAGGTTGGAGGGGTGATAAGGTCGATAATGTGTGACAACGGTGGCGCACATGACCAATGAGTGATGACCATGAAGTTGTGAGTGTGTGCTGTGGTAATGATTTGAATGACAGTGGATAATGGTGACAATGACTTGCAAGCAAGTACTCAGAGCAGGGTGAACAAGGCTCACATTTAAAGCTAAGAGCATAGACTGCTATCCAGGTAACCTAAGAAGCAAAGGGTTCCTAGCTGGGACCCAAGGGCTGTGTAGCAACCAGACCCCAACCAGAGCTGAGAAGCTACACAGGTCTCTATCCCATTTCTTTCTACTTTTTTTGTTTTTTTTGTTTTTTTTTTTTTATTTTGCAAAAAAAGATAGATGCTCTTTAAAAAAAATTAAATTCAGAAGCTGGCTAGGTCTTTTGGGATCTGAGGGTCATAGACTCAGCAACACAAAGGTACATCCATGGCTGTGGACAGAGGCTATCCCACTTTCGCCACAGGACAAGCAAAACGCCCCACAAGCAGCAATTTCCACTAAAGCCTGTGAAAACCTTGGAGAGGGCTGTGTTGCTCACTCAGACTTTGCCAGGGGGCACTTGTGGTTCAAGGTACACTTACGTCTGAAAGCATATCATCTCTACTCTACAGGGGCAAGTGTGGGGTGGAGTCTGGGGGCATGGGGCTGGGGCAGGGCTGAGCTGGGGTGGGGAGTGGGTTGCTCAAGAGACAACTCCAAATGGCACATTTTGCCCTCAAGGGGCCAATTTTTCCCAAACTGGACAGGAGCCAGGAGGCTCCCCACTTTGAGAAACGCTGTTGGGATCGACTTCAATATCAAGTGTACAGCCAGGATAGGCCAAAACCTTTCGGATCCCAGGATGAGACCAAGTCTCCATCAGATCCTATTCTTGGAGTCAGGAAGTGTTTTGGTATATATCCCTCGTTCCTAATTCTGAATTTTGGGGCTAGAGAGGACCTTGGTGGTTTGGATATTCCACCCCTCCCTCAAGAGAGGGGTGGGGAGGTGGCCCAGGGTTGGGAATGGAGGTCTCGCCAAGGGACACAGCAGCCAACCTGGGGGCTCTCTTTGCCTGACACACAGCCACTACACACTGCAAAGTCACAAATCAATTGGAAAGATCTAAGGGTTGCGGTGTGAGACTGGATGTGAGTGCGAGTCGAAGTGGTGTGTGAGAATTAACGAACGAAAGAGTTTAGCCCTTTTCACAGTGAGTGGTCAAGCACAGCAATCGTGTGTGGTTGCACGAGGACCTGGTGGCTGAAAGCCCCCCAGGAGAGGGACCTCAGCACCAAGTCCTGGTTCTGTTACCATGTTTTTTTTTGGTCTTTTTGATTTTATATTTGATAGCTGATAGTTAAAGAGTTTAGAATAACATACTTATTTCTTTAGCTCATTTAGAGATGAAATTCTTATTATTATTATTCATTAGCATGCATTGAGAGGGAGGAACGGGGTTCTTAGAGAGCATGGCAGCACGTCACACAGCAATGCAAAGACAACACGTGTAAGCATAGCGTTCACTAGATTTCACACAAAACAGAGCAAGCTCTGCCACAAAGAGAAGCACAGACCGCACATAGCAAGCGCTGCGGAACCCCGATACTATGGAGGGACCTAGGGGGACGTTGCTTAGATCTCCTCGTCTCCAGCCTCCTTGTCGAAGGTGGTCATGTCGATCTTCTCGGGTAAGATGATGTTGACCGCCAGCTCCTCTCCGCTGTTGTACTGCAGCAGCAGGTTCTTCTTCTTGCGTAGCATGTGACTGTAGCGCAGGTTGGACACCCAGGTCTCGCACTTGTTGAGGAAGACGATGACCACGGTGCCCAGCACCACCAGGCTGGTGAGCACACCCAGGATAGTGAAGCAGATGGCCTGTCCCTCGGTGAGGAGAGGGGTACTCTTGTTGAGCTCTTTCATGGACACCTTCAGGATGTGGTGCTCGGGCTGCTGAACTGGCAGCTCGTGCACCCCGGGGGTTACGCGGTAGGTGAGCCCGTAGCTGCTAGGCAGGTGGGTGACCTGCACAGGGCTGGCCCCGCGCTTCTTCGCGCACGTGGGACCCATGAACGGGGGCTTGCACAGACACTCGTAGCTCACCTGGGTGTGCTGGAGGCAGGTGCCCCCGTTCTGGCACGGGCCACTGGCGCAGTTGCTCACCGGGCGGCTGCAGGTCTTGTCGACGAATCCAGCTGGGCAGCGGCAACGGAAGTCGCCCCCGATTTCGGTGCAGACGCCATCGTTCTCACATGGGTTAGGGGTGCAGCTGTTGTTAACGATCTCGCAGAAGTTGCCCGAGAAGCCAGGGGGGCACAGGCAGGAAGCATGAGAGGCCTGGCCCTCATCATCCACACAGGCCCCTCCGTTCTGGCAGGGAGAACTGCAACACAACAGACATGGTAAAGGGCCCTCGGGGGCTGGGCTAGGGCAGAGCAGGAGGGGCAGGGGGCAGAGGTGAGGCTCCCTTCTCTGGGCCTTCCTTTGGACCTGACAAAAGAGCAGGGCTCAGAACACATCAGGCTAAGATGGGTATAATGCCAGCGGGGGGCGGCCACCTGGGACTGGGACCCCTGGCTTGGAGGCTCATCAGCTGCCCAGAGGTGGGGTGCCCAAACACCTCACCCTGTCATGATGTCAACCTGGTCAACCAGGAACAGAACCGACCTCTCGTGCCCTCTCCCATCTCTTATTTCATCTCTCAGGCAAGAGCACAGATTGTTAGTTACTAGACAGAAGGGGAAACTGAGGCTGGGAGAGGGAGCATTAGTAACAGTCCAAGTTTAGGGTAAGATCCCTCAGATGAGGAGGGCATCCTGGGCTCTCCAACAGGAGGTCTGCTGTTAGGGCTCCAGTGTGTGCCCCCCACCCCACTACCACCCCTTATTATTTTTATTTCTAGTGGAGTGGGCCCAGCCAGCTATTGTGAAGGAAACCCTTGGGGGCTTTCAGTAAAAGAAATACGGTTTGTATCTACGCTGGCGGGAGTGGTGTCTATGGTGAACTGTTTAATAGTGGTCCATTCACCCAAGTGCAGCTTGCAAACTGAAGCTGTTTGCTCAGAGTGGAGCACACAGAGCATTTAATGTAAGTGCTTTTAAACGACCTGGCCCTTTGTCATCTGATAAATGCCAAAACTCTGGGGAAAGAAAAGTCACCCCCCACCCCCGACACACACACACAAGGAATAAACGTTGCAACTTCAGCCCTGGGGCTGCAAGTAGCTGGGCTCTGAAAACTTCCTAAGGGCCCCCGGGCTCTATTTTGACAGACTAGATCAAGTCTGTCAGAACAGAACAAGTTGAAAGGTCTTGTCCTGTGTTCTCCCCCTTTAGTAAACTGCAGTAGAGTTCAATGGTCACTACCTCCAATGTCCTTCCTGAATACAGATCTCTAGACCCCTATGTTCCTGACGGTTTGAAGCCTCTGCAGATTCCTGGATCTTGGACAGCAGCCCCAGAGCCTCTTCCCCACTATGCTAGCCGATACTAGTGCCCCCTCCCATCTCCTCCAATCTCCTCAGACATCCCAGTAAATCCAATTGCAATGACCTAAACTGCCTCCTACAATATGGTAAGTGGGTTTCACAGCCTGGTCCTGCTGAACTCTGATCTCTTATTATGTTGCCTTTAGAAAATTATACAGCTTGGCATCTCTGTCCCCATCTCAATCTGCTGTCATTCACTGGCATCAGGGCTTGGGAACATCAGGGGAATATGAAATTGCCTTCAGGATCATTTGAAAAAATTATGGAAATGACACAGTCCTCCATAAAAGTCCCCTACCCCGTCAGAGTGGAGGGTGGGGCACGGGTTGCCCAGAACACTTTTATCAGGCGACAGGTCCTATGGGGTTGGATTGAAAGGGTCTTCAAGGGTGAGGTGAGAATATTTACCCATTGATCACGCAGGGCCCATCCTTGTTCTGGCAGTCCTTTCCAGAGAAGCCAGGGGCGCAGGAGCATTCGTACTGGCCCTTCTCGAGGTCCACGCAGGTCCCATTGTTGGCACAGGGGGTTGAGGTGCAAGCCCGCATGTCTGGGAAACAGAAAAGCCTGTGCTTAGCTTTCCCTTTCAGAGTGACAAGAACCTAAGCGGGGTTTGTGGGAAGAGGGGTGCAGTGACTCCCCTCGAAGTCCTGAAGTGCTGAGGGTCAGGAAGCTTAACTCTAAGGTCACTAGTAAGAAAGCCAAGGCCATGGGTAACCAAGATAAGCAGCTGCACCCTTTTCCTGGCACCCTTGCAGTGCAGCACGATGACCTTCACTGCGGAAGCCTTTGTCCCTCCACAAAACAGGGAGGGAGCCAAGATTCCCCAAAGTCTATCTGTTCCTTTCTCACATTCAGCTTCTCCCATTTAGGGAAAGGGGTCTCTGCCACCTTCGGAGCTAGACTAACACTTGGTGGGGGAGGGCGGCGCGGGGGGGGGGGGGGCGGACACCAGCTTTTCACACTTTCCCATCAAAGATCCCCATCAGGAAAAAAGAAGTCTAATTTAGCCCCAGGGCTGCCACCCCACCCCGTGGTCCTTCTGTTCTCTGGTTCTGAACTAAGGGGGTCTAGGGGTAAAAGGGCTGCCTCTTTTGAAGGCAGCAAAATTAGAACTATTGAGCGCTTTCCCGTCGGCGGCTCAGGCTTCCATGAACACTGCTGTATTTCCGAGTGCTCTGACACCCCCTGTCTGGCTCACTTCATTATCCGGGCTCAGCAAGCCCGGGATGGGCTGAACAAAGGGGCTGGGGCAAGGGTTCTCTGACTGTGGAGACCCCAGCTGCCCAGCAGGGTCAGGAAGGGACCCTTATGGCTGCTCCAACCTGCTGCCCCAGAGCTCAGCTCCTTTCCACTCTGCCTCAGTTTCCCTCCGTATTCAAAGAAAAGCTCTCTGCAGCTGATCTCTCAGTGTTTTCTACAATGTGAGCTGTAGAAAACCAGGGCTGGCCAGAGACTGCAAGTGAAGGCAGTCCCAGGGAAGGGGGTCCCCATGCTAAGACCGCACGGGGACATTTTTCTCTCCTTTTTCAAAGAGACCTGAACCCTGATGGAGGGGAGACCAACGTCTGTGAAAAATTCTGTGCCCCATGTTGGCAGACTCTCTGCAGGAGCCCGTCGTGGTGCAAGGAAACCTAGAGAGGATTTATCTTCCTTGGGATAGTTCCAGCAAAATGTTAGTGTACTGAGCCTCTGAAGCTGGCTCTGGCTTCTCTGTCCCTGCTCTCCTACCACTTGGAATCTTGAATTTAAGATAAAGATCTAGTGACCACCCCTAGACTATACTGCTCAGCCCCCCTAAATACCAACTCTCCAGAGCCTCCAACCCCAAAGACGGGGTGAATCGCTGCTGTAAGGAGAGGGCAGAGTGGGGCTCTTTGTAAATAGCAGCTGTGGCCAGGCCGGCAGAAAGGGAGAGGGGCAGCAATTACCCAGGGGCTATTTCCCCCCTGGGACAACCCTCGACCCCAACCATTTCTACCCAGGCAGATAGCCTTTGTGAATTTGATGGAGAGGGGCTATGCATGCTGAGGGACCTGTGAGGGGGAATTCTGTCTGGAAAGCTATTCCGGATTCTGATAGCTAGAAGGGTGGGAGCTAGGCTAAAAGCCTAACCCTAGTCAGTGGTTTTTCTAGCATCCCCAAACAACTCAGAGCAGTGGCTGCTGCTGCTGCTGCTGCTGCTGCTGCTGCTGCTGCTGCTGCTGCAAGGGGCTGCAGAGCTGTGGCCAGAGCATGAGTCAGCTGCAGCAAAAACCTTCCCCCACCCACCGTGCCACCACTTGAGGAGAGGGAGACCATAGACAATTTGGGGTACGGAGGCCCCTTTGCTTCTCTGATCCTTGGTTTCCCTTTTGTCACTGGCAATGTTGAAGAGATAGGTCCTAGGGCATCTAGCTGTCTGCCTACCTACTGGGATATCATCTCCCAGGGGGGCACACACCCTTTATTCCCCAGGACTTCAGTTTGCCTGGACTTTGGGGACAGGTTTAGCAAATGCAAAGGGTCCTACAACAATGCAGCTGTCAGTTTACAAAGATCATATAAATTAATGAAATCAGCAGATAGCATCAGTGTGCACTTTAACCCTTCCTCAGCCGCTCCCCACCACCAACCTCCTGCCGCACCTGACTGCCCTCCCCCACCCTGTCCTTCCTTGTGGTTTACATTCAGCCCCCACCATCACCACTCAGCATCAGCCACCCCTCCCTATTTGTTTACTGGCTCCCCTTTCTTGATGTTTGAGCCCCGAGAATTACCCCTCCCACAGCACACACAGAAGACACCCCCCCCCCCCATCTCCCAGCTCCAGGTACCTGCGCAAGTAGCCCCAATCCGTGGTCCAGCCACCCTGGGCATGATGTGTTTTATTTTGTGACTCTTTATTCAACAGGCAGTTTCCCAGCACGCCCACCCCCAAGTCTTGGAACCCCCAGAGGAGCTGAGGTGAACAAAATACAGTCTCTACGTTGAGGCCCAGCAGGAAACGTATATACACTATAGATGACATACTACAAATAGAGAGCCTTAGGGTTCTGGATTGTAGCTCCAGACAGGGAGAGGGGTGGGCAGGGAAAAGGGGTGATGGTGGGCTAAGGTCAGTGCTCACCTATGTTGCAGAATTTCCCTTCCCAGCCATCCTTGCAGAAGCACTGCCATGGTTCGTCACAGAGTCCATTGACGCAGCCAGGGGAGGTTACGCACTTGTCACACAGGGGGCCCTCCCAGCCCATCTCGCACCTGTGTGAACAAAGAGGAGAGAGAGGGGCACATGAGGAGAGTGGGGGTCCAAAGAGGGCTCAGGCTGTTTTTCTGCTGGCTGGAGAACCCTTGGTAGTCTTTGTACAGTGCCAGGCCAGTGGGTCCCTGGAGCAAACAGCAGCCACCTGAATGGAAAACTCAGAGAAGGGGCTCAAGGGCAGAAACACAGGGTCTTCCAGATCCCCACAAGAACCACATTTGATGCAGTGACCCCCAATGGTCTCATCCTGCAAGACATTTCCCTGCCCCCCCTTCTCCTGCCCCCTCCTTCTCTCTCCCCCGCCCCCACCAGTTTTCTGCAGGAACAGGAAAGCTGTGACGCAGTTTTGTGGCAAAGCACCCCCTCCTTTTAGCCTGGCTCTAAAACCCCCTAGGACCCCACCATGGTCCCCAAGAAGCTTACTCCATTACCTGCAAACATTGTCATCCTCGCAGAATCCATGTTTGGGGTCGCAGGCTGGGTCGCATTCAGCCCCTGAGGAAGAAAAAGAAGGTACGCAATTCACCCCACAAGGCCCACAAGGCCTAGAGGACACTACCTAGTCCGTTTTCTCTCAAGTGGCCCACTGCCCCTCAGTAGGGGGGATTCAAAGACCCTCTTGGATCCTTCCAGCTTGGCACACAGTAGGCACTTCTTGTCTGTGGGTGGATGGTGCCTCAACCTACCCAGGAAAACAATCCTGCGTGTTCCTAGCCATGTGATAAGCACAGCATACCCCTGATTCTCCAAGTGCAAAGCAGACACCTTTCTTCCAAAAGAAAAAAGGAACCCCCAGACCACTAAAAGTAGGAAGGGGGACATTGAAGAGGTAGCCTTTGACCCCTGGGCATTCAGTCAAGCCTTCGCTTTTGCAAAGTGAGCTAAAGGGGAGATGTTGAGGTCTCCAAGAAAGCTAAGGCAAGTCCACCTTAGCGACCAGATTTTCCCCCAAGATTAACCCCAGTTACACCAGGCCAAATCCTTTCTCTCCCACTTCCCCTACCCCACCCTGGTCACATTAAAAGAACTGCGCAACAGCTCTGCAAGGCCTCACAGATTCCGACACTAATAGACACCTACTGTATGCATCTACTTAACCGACTCTCGGGTTTTCCAGATAGACCCCCGCCCCCCACACAAACCACTGGCGGAGTGGAGGCTGGGGTCGCTGCGGGAGGGGGGCAACTCTCTCGCTGCCAGAGACAGATGGCCGCTGCAGACAGGAGTGTCGCAGCCCCTCACCTAGAGAAACGCGCCACGCAGGAGGGGCTCCGGCTTTGCTCCTGTTGGAAATTGGGGGCTACGACTGCAAAGTCATCCCCTCAAAGCCCCCAGACCTGTTCCTAAGCACATACGCAGGGACAGACACCCCCAAAGTTGCACCCAGAGCCATTTTTTTCTTAAATACCTCCCAGGGAAGCCTCCTTTTTCCATACCTCCTCAATCCGCGCAACGACACCCCTCTGAACGCCACTTCTGCTGGGCAAAAAGGGTCTGGGGCCCTCCACCTCCCGCAAACCCCAGGACCCCGGGACTGGGCTAGGCACACAAGAGTGGCGCAGGGAGGGTGAGGTGGGCGCAATGCGGGGCTTAGGGTTAGGCGGGACGGGCGGGACTTGGGGCACACGGGACAGGGAGAGTGGGGTGGTCGGCGGGGGGGGGGGGTGGTCGGCGGGGCATCGCAGGCTTCCCCAGAGGGGGCGCGAGCCAAGCCGCCAGGGGGGCTCACCATAGGTGCTGTGGCCGAAAGCCAGCAGGAGCAAGAGGACGGGCAGGAGGGCTCCGGTCGCGGTCATCTCGGGGCGGCCTGGGTCGTGGTCCGGGGAGCGGCGGCGGTGCAGAGGGGGCTCCGGGGGCTGCACTGGGCTTCTGGTTGCGGACGATGAAGTGGGCACCGGCGTCCAGAGGAGGGAAAGCCAGGGTTGCACCGGGGCGCACACTGGTAAGTGCGGGTCGCCGAGGAGCTGCTGCTGCGGCCCGCGCGCCGCCTTTTCGTACTGTTGTCCCCCCCCCGCGGCCCCCGCCCACGCCCACGCCTCGCGCGCACGGGGCAGGCGCCGGCCAGTCCCGGTGACCCACCCCCTGGCGGGGCCGCCCCCCAGTGCCGAGGCGTCCGGAAGCTGCTTGCGCACGCGGGCGCACTCTTGGCTAGACGGGTACCTGCGCACGATGGGCACGCGGTCCGCACACAGGACAGCACGCGGCGGAGGCGGCGGCGGTGGCGCTCGCACAGGCCCGCTTAGCGCAAGTCTCAGGAACCATGCCGGGCGGGCGGGCGAAAGCCCTAGCACGCACTCAGAATACAAAACGCTCACAGACATAGTTACTTAGGGCTTGGGTCCCGCGCACACATGGCGCGCGGGTCAAAAGCCCAGAAGGACCCAAACGCACACCACGAAGATGTGGAAGATGCACATGATCACAGATGCACACACAAAAACGACCACAAAAAGCCGAAGCCCCCCGACCAGTCTTGCCATTGTGGAGTATGGGGAAGGTGCAGATGCACTTGCCCCACGGAGTCCCAACCCAACCACACCTTTCAATACAAGCACACCTTAATACCCCTCCTTGGGGCAGAGGTCACAGACCAGGGCAGCAGGAACTGTCCGATCTGCTTCAAGCAGAGGAAGCGCCAGCTATGAAAGACTGAGCGTCTCCTGCCTATGCTGCCCCTCCACGCAGCCCGCCTGTAAACACAGGAGACCACTGGTAAACACCGACGACATCCTGCGTCACCCTCTCCCCCTCCCCTCTTTCAGGTACTGCAGCCATAGCCTGGGCCTTATTGTGCTGAAACATAAAATCACTGACTCTTCCCACCATGTACAGCTACACACCTGATAGGAACACCTATGCCCAGTCCCCTAAACTGTCTCAGGTTCATGGAGTCACCCAACACACAAATGACCCCAAAGCACACACAATCGAATTCATCTTTGTCCACAGTGATACATGTTGACAGTCTCATCAATATGTTCACAGTCAAATGCAGGCAACCACATTTTGTAGCTTTCATCAAGGGAAAACTAAGAGGAGGGAAGTTGGGGGGGATACTGATTCTGCCAGAGTCTCTGGGGGTTCACTAGGCAACCCCCTTACCTGCCATGCTCCCAGCAAGGGTTTAGAGCCTTTCACTCATCTGGAAAGCCGCCTTATCTCCTATACTGAGGCTCAAAAGGAGAAGGAGGTAGCTGAATGGACTGAATCATTTAAGGGGCCAGGGAGATGGCTCAGTGGGTAAAGGTGCTTGCAGCCAAACGAGTTCGATCCTTGACTCCTGAAGTTGTTCTTTGGCCCCCACAGGCACCCCCTTAAATAAAATGTAAATAGGGTCATTGACATAGCTCAGTTGGTAAAGGTGCTTGCTACCAAGTCTGACAGGCAGAATTTGACCTCTAGACCCTACATGGTTACATGATGAGAGACTAAGCACTGTTCTCTGACCTATACATGCCTCTCATGGCTTGCACTCACCCTTTCTCTGTTATCTCTGTCTCTCTGCCTCTCTCTCCACACACACACCACACACACACACACACACACACACACACACACACACACACACACGCGCACATGCACACACACGCACTAAATAATAAATAAATAGAACTAAAAATAAAATGTAAAATCTAAAAATAAATAAATGTTAAAAATCACAAATAAAATACAATATAAATAAATGTTTTTTGAAATGTGGAAGTTGGATAGATGACTCAGCAACTAAGAGCACTTACTGCTCTTCCAGAAGACCCAGGTTCAGTTCCCAGCACCTGTATGACAGTTCACAACTGGTTGTAAACCCAGTTTCAAGAGCACCAGATACACATGCGGTATTCACACAAATAAGCAGGCAAAATGCTTATACACATAAAAAAAAATCTTTCAATAAGATAAAATGGGAAGAGATGTTAGGATTTGGGGTGGTCATTCAGATAGACTTAATTTGCGTATATTAATTTACATCTAGCTCTCAGGTGAGCTGCTGTTTCCCTAGTCATCGCTTCCTTTTCCCCACAGTTAGGAGGACTTGGGGTTAGCCAAGGAACTTTAGCTCTTTGAATCTGTGGGGGGGGGGCGGGGGGGGGGGACGGGAGGTTGTACTTCAGCCTGATGGGGAGCATCTAAGCTTGCCCAAGCAGGTTTGGAGACTTTTGCTATCTCGGGGGACTGAGAGCCAGACAGTGAGAACTCCTAGGAAAGAAAGCTGGGAGTGGGCACGTGGTTGGACCAGAGGCTGAAAGAACACTTCCCAGTTTCTTGCGGGGGGCGGGGGGGGGGGGGAGGATACGTTCCTTTCTTGTATTCTCTGCAGGAGTCTCGCATGACTATGGCCTGGGGGAAATAGCTTCTGTGGCAGGCTGGAGGGCATAGTTAGGGTACCCCTGAATTGGTGTGGACCCACTGACTTCCACAGACTCGGACTCTTCTTGTCTTCAGCAAAATAAACAGAGACCAGCATAGCCAGTATTTTTGTTTTGGCGGTGGGGGGTGTTGTTGTTATTGTTTGAATTTTTTTATTTGTATGTTTTTTTTACCCAAAGCCCCTGGTTAAAGTGAGAGTGGCTGGCAGGTGCCACTGCCCCCTCCTTTGAGATCACCAAGGTCTCCTTGGCCCCCCTTCATCTCTTCCTTCCTTCCAAATCCCCTGACCTCAGGCTCCAAAATTATCCCATGTTGTGCAGTGCAGCAGGCAGACTGGAGGGGCCAAGTGCTCAGCCAGAACTAAGGAGACTAGAGGATCTTGGGACTGGGCCACTGGGATAAAGGGTAGATTCCTGCACTCCTGCTCAAGGCAGCAGAAAAAAGTGGGCTACACAGAGCACAAAGAGCCCCAGAAGCAGTGAAGTGAGCCCCTCACATAGACTCCGTTTCCCTCTCCTAAGCCCTTCTATATCCTGCCCTCCCTGGGTTTGGAAAGAGAAGCAAGTCGCAGGGGCTGTGCCTAAATGTCACAGGCTTAAACTAAAGGGCACTCCTGTTACTGATGAGCATATGCTTCCTAACCTTAGATCCACGCCATGCCAGTACTCTCCTTCTCTGAGCCATGTTTCCATGTCTATAAGCAGAGACCACACACCTGTCACTGAAGAAACCCTCAGGGTTTTGCAGGCAGGAAAGCCCAGTGCCAGGGTTTTGTAGGCAGGAAAGCCCACCGGCAGCTGGGGCTTGACTTCAGCCCCAGATAGCCGGAGGGATCTCAGAGGAGAGCAGACAGCGTCCTCTTCTGGAGCCCCTGCAGGGTGGCTTTGGGGTGGGGGAGTTTCCTCTTTCAAGACTCACAAGCCCAGGAGTTTTATGAGGGTTTGCTCTGGTCTCAATAAAGCATTTGTTAATGCTGCTGGCTGAAGATGCCTGTGTAATGAGCAGATGCCGAGAACGAATGAGTAGCACAGGGGCACTGGGGCGGGGTGGCGGGGGGGGGGGGGGACTGTCACAGGCTCAGAGACTGTACTGAAAGCATGAAAATGCCAATCCAGTCCCTTGGGGAGAAGTCGGCACAGTCTGCCTTTTGCTGAGCAGATCTTGGGGGCTGGGAGTCACGCCCCACTCCTCTATCTAAGCATCCCTCCCCTGCCCCTCCTCTTCCCAGGCGTCTGCATGCAGACCCCTGGACTCACAGTGGTGAGGCCAGCAGCCCCCTACTGCTAAAGCATTACAAGCAGTCACCATAGTAGGGTGTAGCAGGGGTGGGGGGCGGGCTATGCAGGAAGCAGAGACTGGATCGGCTCTCTATGGGGCGGGGGGGGGGGGGGTCACAGAAGAATCTAGGCTGCCTCAGAACTAGGCTGCTTATCTCTGGCTAAGCCAAGGACTCTAACTCCCAGGCTCTGGTAGGCATGAGAAGAAGGCAAAGGGATTCTGTCCTGCAAAAGAGATGCCCTGGCTGGGGGTCAAAGTTTTCTGAAAGAATCCAAGAAATGCTGTCTCTGGCCCATTCCCAGTACCCCACTCCCCTCTTCCACCCCACCCCCCGCTCCCCCGCCAGCCCCTCTCACTGCTTCCAGCCCTCAGCAGACCACTTGGCCCTTGATTAAATACAGAATCGCTGGTCAGGGAAGCTCAATGGGGTGGAGCTGATGGGCCTCTCAGACAAACCAGTCCTGGTCTGCACAAGAGGGTTAGGCCAGCTGGTGGGGGGAGGGGGCTTAACCCCAGGTTGACATCTTGCTCCACACCCCCATTGAGAATCTCTCAACCTTGAAGCTTTGTTTCTGCCCAGACTGGGCTGTAGGTTTAGGAGGTGATAGATTCTCTGTCGATCAGTCTATAGATAAGTAAACTGAGGTCTGGTGAGGTTCTTGAGGGGGGGCAGTCAGTGGGAGTGTTCTGTGCTAGCCCTACAGCTGAAATTCTCCATCCTCCATCTACTCAAGGATATTGTCTGCCTCCCCTTCCCTTTCTTCTGCTCCCCCCGCCCCTCCACCAAGGACTGGTTCTTCACTAAAGGGGGAGCAGAGATACAGACACATGTTAGGCCTGAAGCTGTGGCCTCGTCACCTGCTGAGCCCCGCTGCCTCTTCTTCTTCCCCAAGATCTCATCTTTATTTATGCTCCAGTAGAGTGGGTTTCAGCTTCACCAGAGCTTCCTCACAGCCTGGAGCTGTGGGGCTGCAAAGCCATTTCAGAGCTGAGCACCTGAGGCTTGAGAGCTTTGCAGATAGATGGCCACAGAGTAGCAAGACTGGGGAATCAAACCATGGCCTACCGGCATTCAATTCTCAGCTTTCTGCTCAGGGATCAGCTACAGGGGCAAGAGAGAATATGGTGAGCAGGGAGTAGGACCACCACAGGGAGACCTGCTTCCTCTCTTGGGGTAAGAGGGGTAGCTCAGCAACCTCGGATGTTCAGGCAAACACCAGAGACAGAGATACCATGCTATGAGAGATGCTTGCAGAAGAAATCCCCTCCACCCTCTCTCTCTCTCTGCCACAAAGGGGTGGGCCAGAGGTGGAAGACTGAGGAAAATGAGAGGCACACGGGGTACATTCAGTCTTGAGAACATGACGGTCCTGTTTCAAGTTCAATCAGAGAAAAGGCTCTTCAGTTTCGAGTGCCTTTGCATGCAGAGAGCTGGGACTGTGGCCCATGACCTCAGCAATGCAAGTCTTGTGTTGGTCTGATGTGTGGACCAGAGACGTGCATCACGACCCACAACCCCCGACCCACTCTTGGGCACACAAAGGCCTTCTGGGGGTCACTGGGGCACAAATCCTGCACAGTCTCAAGTTCCCATGTAGGTCTGCCTATAATGTGGGAGAGAAAAGTGCTCCATTTCCCCAGGCCCTCACCCAGCTTTGGCATGCTTGAGAGACAGAATCACATTAGCATTGGTTAGTGCAGGGTCTTGCCTCTTCTCCAGACATCACCAGTTTTTCCTTTATCGGTGATAAGATTAAAAAATAGACTTCTTGCTTCTTTCTCCAGTGCATTCCACATGAATATCAAGTTCGTCTCATACACATCAGCTAAATTATCCTCTTAAAGGGCACTACTGAGTCATGCTGCAGAGGTGGAGCACTCTGGGGGTCTCTGGAGGGGTTAAGTGACT